GCCAAACAAATCCACACCAAGACATATCATAAAAACAGCAGAAGTTAAGACAAGATTCTAAAGATAGCAAGAGAAAAACAAAGCTAATTACAAGGGAACTGCCATAAGGTTATCAGTTGATTGCTCTACAGAAATGATGCAAGCCAGAAGGGAGTGGCAAAGTATGTTCAAAGTTTAAAAAGGGAAAAATCTGCAACACGAAGTACTCTACCCAGCAAGAATATCATTAAGGATGGGAAAATAAAGAATTTCTCAGATAAGCAAAAAATAAAGAATACAGCAATACTAAACCTATCCTGAAAGAAATATTGAAAGGTCGTCTTCTCTAAATAGAAAAGAAAGATACAGTAAAGAGGAACTCACAGTTGGAAAGTAAATCACTTAAGTTAGCCAGTATAGAGATCAAACTGGAAAAAAACCTACTTATGAAAGGAAGATAAACACAAGGAACAGTAAAAGGATAAACAAGATGTGATGTAAAAAGGGACATCAAAATCATAAAATGTGGGGAAGGAGTAAGAAAATGTTGATTCTTATTTTTTAGAACGTGTTTGAGCCTATAAGACTATCAGCCTAAAGCAAGCAGATATAGGAAAAGGTTAACATACCTGAAAAAAGGGGCAACCACAAATCAAAAACATACAATAGTTAAAAAAAAAAAAAAGACCACAGAGAATACAAGGGTAAGAGAAAAGGAAATCATCAAACCACAAAAAGAAACAGAAAAAGACAAAGGAACAAAAAGGAAACAGAATAGACTGGGAAACAAGGTTTAAACTGGTGGTAAATATGTAAGTATCAATAACTACATTGAATGTCAATGGACTGAATACTCAAACCAAAACAGAATGGCAAACTGGATAAACAAATAAGAGTCTACAATATGCTGCCTACAAGACAGCCACCTTAGGGCAAAAGACGCACACAGATTCAAAGTGAGAGGAAAAACATATTTCATGCAAATGGAAATGACAGGAAAACAGGAGTTACAATAGTCTTATCAGACATATAGACGTTAAAACAAAAGCCATAAAGGAAAAGAAGGAAAATATATAATGGTAAAAGGATCAATGCAAGAAGAGGATTTTACATTTGTCAACATATATTGCCCCAAACACACAAAACACTAACAAACAAAAATGGAGAAACTGATGAGAATACAACAGGAGACTCTATCACCCCATTCACATCAATGGGCCGATCTTCTAGACAGAAAAATCACTAAGGCAACAGAGATCCTAAATGATGTAACAGTTAAGACTTAACTGGTATTTTCAGGACATTATTTCCAAAAAACCCAGAATACACATTCAAGTGCACATGGAACATTCTCTAGGACTGACCACATACTAGGACACAAAACTAACCTCAGCAACCATAAGAGTAAAGAAATTATTTCAAGCATTTTTCCTGACAACAGCATACAGCTAGAAATCAACCAAAAGAAAAGAAATCCATATGTTACTTAAAAAAAAAAAGAAACAAAACCAAAAAAAAACAGATCCAACAGGTCAATGAGAAAAACAAAAAAAGGAATTTACACACCTCCCTCAAAAAACAAGAAAAAAAATCTCAAATTAACAACCTAACATACAACCTAAAAGAATCAGAAAATACAAAACCCAAAATCTCAAGTCAGTAGGAGGGAAATAATAAAGATCAGGAAGGAAATAAATTGAGATTAAAAAAAAATAGAAGAAAAAAACACAAAACAACCCAACATCAGGCTTCCCTCATGGCTCAGAGGTAAAGAATCTAACTCCCACCGCAGGAGACACAGCATGAGACTGGTCCTTGCTTTGGGAGGATCCTACATGCCGCAGAGCAACTAACCCCGCATGCCACAACTGTGCCCTAGAGTCCAGGAGCTGCAACTACTGAAGTCCTGAGTGCCTGAGAGCCCGCGCTCCGAAACAAGAGAAGCCATTCCAATGAGGAGCCTGTGCACTGCTACTAGAGTAATCCCCACTTGCCAGAACCAGAGAGAGTCTATGCAGGAACAAAGACCTAGCACAGCCAAAAAAAAAAAAAAAAAAAAATCAGTAAAATCAAGAACTGGGTCTTTGAAAGGATAAACAAAATCAATAAACCTCTGGCCAGTCTCACCAAGAACAACAAAGATAGAATCCAAATAAATTAGGAAATGAAAAAGGAGAGATTTCAACTGATACTGCAAAAATAAAAAAAACCTTAAGAGAATACTATAAACAATTATAAGCCAACAAATTTGACAACTTAGAAGAAATGGACATAGATATAGCCCACCAAAAGAAAGATATAGCCCACCAAAACTGAATTAAGGAAAAAAGATAAACTGAACTGACTGATCACCAGAAGTGAAATAGAACCTGTAATTTAAAAAAAAAAACAAAAAACAAAAACTCCCTACAAACAAAAATCCAGCACCAGGTGGCTTTACAGGAAATTATTCCAAACATACAAAGAACTTCTTACACTCATCCCTCTTAAACGCTTCTAAGACTGGAGAGGGGAGAACACTTCCTAAGACATTTCAGTAATATCAAAGTGTGTTAGTCACTCAGTCATGTCTGACTGTGTGACACCATGGTCTGTCCATGGAATTCTCCAGGCAAGAATACTGGAGTGGATTGCCATGAAGCCACCATTAATCACCTGATAACAAAACTAAACAAATACCACCAAAACAGAAAATCACAGGCAAATACCTTCAGTGAATATAGATACAAAAATTCTCAACAAAATATTAGCAAACTGAATCAAACAACATATAAACAAGATCGTGTACCAAAACCAAGAGGGATTTATCACAAATTCACAAGGATGCTTCAACATACGCAAAAATCAATCAATCAATGCTCAGTCATGTCCAACTCTTTGCAACCTGCTAGGCTCCTCTGTCCATGGGAATTCGGGAAGCAAGAATACTGGAGTGGGTTTGTCATACTCTTCTCCAAGGGATCTTTTCAACCCAGGAATCGAACTTGAGTCTCTTATATCTCCTGCATTAGCAGGTGGGTTCTTTACCACTAGTGCCAACGGGGAATTCCTGGTGTAATACACCATGTAAATGAAAGTAAAAAACCATATGATTGTCTCAACAGATACAGAAAAAGCACCTGACAAAATTCAAACCATTCATAATAAAAACACAGTAAAAGCCACTTATGACAAACCTAAAGTCAATATAATATTCAACAGTGAAAAGCTGAAAGTCTTCCCACTAAATCTGGACTAAGAAAACAAGGAGGCCCACCCTTACTACTTCTATTCAATGTAGTGATGGAAGTCCTAGTCATGGCAAACAGACAAGAAATAAAAGGTATTTAAAATGGAAAGGAAGAGATAAAATTGTCATCATATGCAGATGACATAAAAATGCATAGAAAACCTTAAGGACTGCAGGGAAAAAAACTACTAGATCTATAAATGAATTCAGCAAAGTAGCAGAATATAAGATTAACATTTGGAAATCAGTTTTACACTAACGGTGAAAGAGAGAAAAGGGAATGTTAAAATTAAAGAGGATTCAAAGAAATGAAAAGATATTCCATGCTCTTGAATTCAAAGAATATTGTTTAAATGGCAATACCACCCAAAGTAAACTACAAATTTAATGAGTTCCCCTATCTAATTACCCATGACATTTTCACAGAATTAGAATAAGTAATCCAAAAATCTATATGGAAAAAAAAAAAAAAAGCCAAGAACTGCCAAAGAAATCCTGAGGAAACAGAAACAAAACAGGAGGCATAACTCTCTCAGACTTCAGACAATACTAGGAAGCTACAGTAATCAAAACAATATGGTAACTGGTACAAAAACAAGCCTATGGATCAATGGAACAGAATAGAGAACCCAGAAACAAACCCACACACTTATAGTCAATTAATCTTTGACAAAGGAGGCAAGAATATACAAGAAAAAGACAGTCTCTTCAGTAAGCAGTGCTGGGAAATTTGGACAGCTGAATGTAAGTCAATGAAGTTAGAATACACCCTCACACCCTACACAAAAATAAACTCATTAAAGACTTCAAACATAAGACATGATACCATTAAACTATAAGAGAGCAAAGGCAAAATATAACCTAATGTAAATCGTACCAATATTTTCTTAGGTCAGTCTCCCAAGGCAACGGAAATATTGATTAAAAAGAACAAATGGTACTTAACCAAACTTAGAAGCTTTGCATAGCAAATGAACAATTTAAAAAAAAGACAACCTACAGACTGGCAGAAAATATTTGCAAATGATGCAACTGACAAGGGTTTAATTTCCAAAATATACAAACAGCTCATACAACTCAACAACAAAAACCCAAAACCACATAACCCAATTGAAAAATGGGCTGAAGACCTTAACAGACATTTCTCCAAAGACATGAAATAGCCAGTAGGCACATGAAAAGATGCTCAACATCACTAATTATTAGAGAAATATAAATCAAAACTACAATGAGGTACCACCTCACACTAGTCAGAATAGCCATCATCAAAAACTCTACAAATAACAAAAGCTGGAGAGGCTGTGGAGAAAAGAGAACTCTCCTGTTCCGTTAGTGGGAATGTAAATTGGTGTGGCCACTATGGACAACAGTATGGAGATTCTTTAGAAAACTAAAATTATTGTATAATCCAGCAATCCCAGTCCAGGGCATATATACCTGGACAAAGCTGTAATTCAAAAAGATATATGGACTCCAACATAGCATATTCACAGTGTAGCAGCACTATTTATAATAGCTGAGACATTGCAACAATCTAAATGTCCGTGGACAGATGAATGAATAAAGATGTGGTACATATATACAATGGAATACTACTCAGCCATAAAAAGAATGAACTAATGCCATTTTTGCAGCAACATGGATACAACTAGACATTATCATACTAAGTGAAGTCAGAAAAATAAATACATATGATATCATTTATATGTGGAATCTAAAATGGCATAAATGAATCTATCTACAAAACAGACAGAGAACAGACTTGTGATTACCAGGGCGGAGGAGGGGACAGAGAGGGATGGACTGGGAGTCTGCAGCAGATGCAAACATTACATACGGAACGGCTAACAACCAGGTCCTACTGTACAGAACAGGGAACTATATCCAATTTCCTGGGCTAAACCACAGCGGAAAAGAATCTAAAAAAGGAATACACATAGGTGTGTAACTGAGTCACTCTATTGTATAACAGAAATTAGCACAAAATTGTAAATCAATTATACTTCAGTAAAAAAAAAAAAAGTTACTAGTTTTTTTTCCTTCTTTAGTTATACCCCCAATCCTACCAAAGAGGATAAGCAGGAATGAAGCACTGTGTAAAAGACACTTATAAAGCATATTAGAGACAGATTGGCTTAAGAAGGAAAGCGAACAAGACTTCAAGTGTTAGAGTTTCTGCTACTATATCTATCTGTTAGAATATCAAGGGTTACAAAGCCCTTTTTATTTTGTTTCCTTAGTAAGATATAGATAACTAATTTCTCAAAATAATTAAAAAATCTGTACGCTCTAGGCAAACTATGGACATTACAAAGGTGTCTGTATTAAACTCTGATACTGATAGTTACAAAGAACAAAAACATTTGAAAAGGCAGCATTTAAACTTGAGTATACACAAGAAGCACACATGATTTTTAAGTTCATTTTTTAAGTAAGAAATGAAAGGTCTATAAGAAGAGTGTTTTTGTATTAACCAGACTTACAGAATCTGTGCCAGTGTCTCACTCGCCTCCCTGCACGCCATCCACCCTTTTCCTCTCTCTCCCGCGACCTCTCCAGCAAAGTTAGCTGTGTCTGTCACTCTGTTGGTCTGTGTTTATCTTTACAGTTGTTGTATACAGAGCAAGCACTTAATAAGTCTTCATTAAATTCAATTAGATGCAATACGGAAAAGGAAATAACAAAACTGGAGATGAAGAGTGCACCCTCTATTCTAGAAAAATGTTCTTCTTTATTATAAAGTTATCTGAATTCGAAGAGAAAAGCTAACAAAGCGTCACTGGTCACTCACAAGACTCGCGGGTCACTCCACTTTGTCAGGCAGAGCTCTTCCAGCAGCTCCTCTTCATCTAAGATCTCCAAAATGGACTCTTTGAAGATTTTAATATCTGTTTCTAACTCTGACAGGCTGTTAAGAATAATTGTACAGAAATGATCAATAACACAAACCTATAAAAAATTTCCCTACAGGAGTAGTGCCTTTCTAACATCTTATCAAGCAGACTCCCTCATACATTCATGATAAACACTGACTTGTAAAAAATTTTTGGTATTTACTATGCAGTTTGAGAACCAATTCCCAAGGCTGTTAATATATTAAGTGATAAAATTAAACAATGATATAATTTTCAGCACATGTTATTTATCTCAGAAACATACAATCACTGTGATGTAAAAACTTTTGGGCCCAGAAATTTACTTTTGTTCTTAATTATGGCAGTGATAATACAAGAAGAGACCATTTACTTTTATTTGATAAGAACATCCTAATATTTTTGGACAAAAAACTGACTCAGGAATTTTAACTATTAACTCTTGAAGGGATTTTAGGGGGTACAAATCCTGAGGGACTGATCATTCAATCTGTAATACAAGTTAGTATATTAAATTCTGGAATGCATTATGATCAACAAACAAAAACCTCATGAACTTTGGAGGGGAAAAAAAAATGCGATTTGAATATAGACCTGTCATTTAGTAGCTATTAAAGTTTAGACAAATTACTTAGACCTCGATTTTCCTATTTTCAAAATAAGGACCGTGTCAACAGGACTGATGACAGGTTGAGATGAGATCACACATATAAGAGAGACTGATACAGCATTTCACTGAAAACAGCTTTTCAATAAACATTAGTTTGTGTGCCCCTTTTAGCTCAACTTCCCACCTAGGCTACTTTCCTACTTTAAAGTTATGAAAGACAGATTTTACGTTAAACATTTCGCTCTTAAGACTACTGAAAGAGAAGTTTAAGACACTTGTGTCTAATTCCCAACTTGGTAAATCACCCATATTTACCTTTTGCCATTTTGTAGCAAGATGTGCAGTTTGCTTCTGTCTACGGAAGAATGTTTGGGATCCACTAAAGCGTCCAATGTCTCAAGGATCAGTGGTTGCAAAATGCTAAGTTTCCCCTGAAGGGTGTTGATCTAGATAACAACATGACCTTTCATAAGAATTAAAACAATCTTTTTAGAATACTCAGGGTCAGTGAATCCTCTGATTAAATACAGAAATCTAAAATAGCTAGGAAGGCTGGTAACATTTCAGAACACGGTTACGGTTGGAATGCCTATCTCAGATGATTAAAAAACTCAATCTCCTAGGTTAAAAGATAATCATGCATAATGTTGTTGCCAGGCTCCCATTTGGGTGACAGAAAATTAACTCCCGTAAGAGTCCTCCCCCTACAGACACTTGGTATCAAAGGAATGGAAGACTGATTAAAAGAAAAGCTGCCATTCCGTGTTTAAAATGAACTTCACATATGGTAAACAATACCTATGTTCTTTGTAAACAGAATAGGAAATAGTTGATAATTCCTATGAACAAAGCACTTTTAGAAAAAAGAAAAAAGCTCTTTTAAAAAATGAAACATACCTTAAACTTTAAAAAGTAAAGTTGAAAAGTCAAATGTATATTTATTTATTCACGTTATTATAGCCATAGCAGGATTAACCAACAAGTATGCATTGATACAAATATAAGAATGTGCATGCTAAGTCGCTTCAGTTGTGTTAGACTCTCTGCAACCCTATGGACCATAGCCCTCTGTCCACGGGATTTTTCAGATAAGAATAGTGGAGTGGGTTGCCCTTCTCCATGATATAGCTATACTAGTTGTTAAAATAAAATACTTCCAATAACTGTTGGCACACAGCATAACAGTAGCTCAAATAAGAAGTGAAATTAATTAATACTGTAAATTCCAACACTCTCTCCACTGCAGCATGAGCTCCTGAGAGCTGACTCTGTGTAGCTTCACCACTGACCATTGTTCATGTACCTCATTTTGTTCCTTCTATTATTTCCCTGCTTAGTGAGGGGGCTTCAACTAGCCACCATCTCACTGGCTGGTACTAGCTGGTGCTATTGCCTCATTGGCCCCAGTAAGGAATGGAGCCACCTCCTACTGCCTCAATAGAGCAAGGCAGACAAAGAGAAGGGTGCCAGGTACCACCAACCCCCCACACACCTCACGCCCCCTTTATTCTCCCCTCTTCCCTCCTCTTCTCCCACCCTGGTTAGGATGCTCATGGCACTGGCTCTTGCTTGTAGCCAGGTCCTGAATAGTACCATCCTGACTGTTGGGGGAAGAATAGATGATGAAAGATTTGTCACAGCCAAGAAAGCAGTGACTATCCTTGTTCAGAGCTCGATAGGATCCCTAGACCCTCAGTGATTATCAATTTAATAGAAGAGCTGTGAGAAGTGCACACGATTCCGATGTCAAACTAGATCTCAAACAGAGGCATCATTTAGCTACCTCAAAGGATTGTACAAACAAATCAAAGAATGATTGGTAAGCACCAGAATGATCTGATAAAATATTTGTATTATATTTATCATGTGTAAGCAGTTACCCAACATACAATTTAGTTAGAGAATAAAATGGAATACAGCTAAAACCTTTTGGTATGTCCATTTATATCACATTTAAGATAAGTATTTTGAATTAGTATCCCTAAACAGGATGTCAGGATAGACAACCTGAGATGTGTTTCACTCAATGTCATAACATGACTGTTAAAGAGACTCTGTGTACTATACCTAGAGACTTTAGATCTATTTGAGTCATAAACTTTAAAAATTAAGTACCTTCTGCATGTAAGACCCTGAGAAGTTTCTATTTGGGGGAGGGTGTGGTTACAGAAAGTGCCATTAAAACAACACCAGTGATTCCCTGGTGGCTCAATCATAAAGAATCCACCCACCAATGCAGGAGACATGGATTGGATCCCAGATCTGGGAAGATCCTACATGCCGTGAGGCAACTCAGCCTGTGCACCGCAACTATTGAGCTTGTTCTCTAGAGCCCAGGAGCCACAGCTACTGATACTGAAGCCCCAGCACCCTGGAGCCTGTGCTCAGAAACAAGAGCTGTTGTTTAGTGGCTAAGTCATGTCCAACTGCGATCCCATGGACTGTAGCCCACTAGACTCCTCTGTCCATAGGACTTCCTAGGCAAGAATACTGGAGTGGACAGCCATTTCCTTCTCCAGGGAATCTTCCCGATCCAGGTATTGAACCCCAGTCTCCTGCATTGCAGGCAGATTCTTTACATCTGAGCCACCAGGGAAGCCCTGAGCAACAAGAGAAGCCACGGCAATAGAAGCCAAGGCAATAGAAGCCTGTGCACCACAACTAGAGAGAAGGCCCCGCTTGCTACAACGAGAGAGAAGCACACACAGCAAGAAGACCCAGCACAGGCAAAAAAAGAAAAAACCAAAGTGTCTTCCTCCTCAATAGCATTGTAAAACCAGAAAACATTCAAGAAGCTAGACAAACACAGGCTCACCCGATACTGCAGGAGTGCTTCTATAGCTCTAAACTCAAAAGGTAAAAGGTATGTGACAAGTTGGCCCTCTCCAGCCAACTGTGAAGGGAGCTCCCGGAAAAGCCACTGCTCCAAGTTCAAATTACGGTAATCGAGTATCAGAAGACACTCTGGAGTTATCACAGCTTTCAAATACTGTAAAAAAAAAAAAAAAATATATATATATATATATCTGTAGATAAATATATGTACACAGGCATATATGTAAGTTGTAGAGAAAAATAACATTCATAAAAATATTTAGTATTTAATACTCTATTAATTTTTTAAAACTATTTATTTGGCTGCACCCAGTCTTAGTTGCAGCACGTGGGATCTAGTTCCCTAACCAGGGATCAAAGCCAGGGTCCCTGCATTGGGAGCAAGGAATCTTAGCCACTGGATCACCAGGGAAGTCCCAATACTCTCTTTAATTTTGGACTAGCCTAAACCAAATCACTGGAGAAGGCAATGGCACCCCACTCCAGTACTCTTGCCTGGAAAATCCCATGGACGGAGGAGTCTGGTAGGCTGCAGTCCACAGGGTCGCTAAGAGTCAGGCACAATTGAGCGACTTCACTTTCACTTTTAACTTGCATGCATTGGAGAAGGAAATGGCAACCCACTCCAGCGTTCTTGCTTGGAGAATCCCAGGGACGGGGTAGCCTGGTGGGCTGCCGTCTATGGGGTCGCAGAGAGTCGGACACGACTGAAGCGACTTAGCAGCAGCAGCAAACCAAATCACTGTTCATTTGGTTTTTCAAAAACAAATCAACAAAAACAAAAAAACCAAGACTTTTTTTTTTTTTAAGAAAGGAAGCCTAAAATAAATGCAAATCTTAATACCTCTCACTCACTCTCAACAGAACTAGAATTAAACAGATTATGTATTTACTAGGATTTCCAGGGTAATCAAGAGAAATATAGAGAACAAAGGAAACAAGATAAGGTCTTTTTAAAACTCCAGCATTCAGTAGGCTTTTAGAAAAGATTTAGTTTAATCATGATTGGTTTGGCTGAAGTGGGAAAGTTTCCTTTTTAAAATATCACCAAAACATACTAAGCTAATTTGAAATCATAAAGATAAAATGTAGCCTTAGTGCTCTAATTTAGAACACGATGAAGTTAAAATTCTAAAGAGTAAGGCTAACATATTCTGTGTTTGGGTCATTTTACATGCAGATGTTTTTCAGTAGTAAACACCACACAAATACACGATCTGCGGTGGCTGAATCTGAGGATAGGGTACAGCAGGTATGGAGGAACTCTAAGGTATACATGTATTTTTGACTGTGTGGAGGTTCAATGCCCCCACCCCCATGAGGCTCAAAGGTCAACTGTAAAGTGAACATTTTTATTCAGAAAAGTTGAAAAATTATACAGTGAATACCTATACACATACCAATTAGATGCTATAATTAATGTTCTTCTATAATCCATGTAAAATGAGTTCTACACAAAATCACCTGAGAAGACTTTCCCATTTTTAAATAAATTCTAGATAAATGACAAAAAACTTGCCAAAGACTTTTTGAAGAAAGCAAGTCTTGAATCCACTGCAGGAATGATGCTGAGACCTGTGACCCCTCATCTGTTTCCAAACCTTAAACATTAGCCCACCAAAATAACTTAAAGCTTTCTGTAAAAATAAAAAAAATTAAGATGATAAACTTTAGGGACTTTCCTCGTGGTCCAGTGGCTAAGATTCTGCACTCCCAATGCAGGGGGCCCCCCAGTTCAATTCCGGGTCAGGGAACTAGATTCCACATGCAGCAACTAACATCCAGCACAGCCAAATAAATAAATATTTCAAAAACAAAAGATGATAAAATATAAAGGTTACTTTTAGGCTATTTCAAAAACCAGAATATATTCTTAGTAGCTGAAGTTATAATGCAATTATATATATACTGTATACGACTAAAAAAATCTGTTATAAATCAAGAATCTTTCTCTTACTTTGAAACCAGAGACTAAATTCAAACAGTCAGAAAGGAGAGCACAGTCAGATCTTTTCATTATTAACAGAGCAGTGCTACACCTGCTCAGTATGGGTGTACAATTCACGTGAAATGAGTTCTGCTTCTAACAACACGTTATATTATAAAATAAATTCACACATCTACTTTTTATTACAAATTACTTTTAAACTACTGATCAAGATAGCAAGGAAGGAATTTTAAGACTGCAGGGGAGAAATGTAGATGAAATAAAATCCTTTACCTCCATTCGCATGATAATCCTATTGTTTCTGGTTGTGATGCTCATTAAATGCTGAAACCTCAAATCTCTGGCTTGAAGACCTAATTCTTGATATAAGTCAGTTTTCTTCCTTTCTAAAAAAGAAATGTGTTCAATAAAAGGAGTGGGTAAACTTATAAACCAAAAAGTTTAGATTTTTATATCAGAGTACCCCTCCCAACACCAGTGAGATAATCTTCTATTACTACCAGAAACAAGAGCTAAAATGAGTCTTTTTGCTTTTTTTTTGCAATTTATGCCACTGCATTTTTTTTTTAAAAAAACTTAATTTTGTACTGGGGTATAGCGGATTAACAATGTTGTCACAATTTCAGGTGAAGAGGAAAGGGACTCAGCCATATAGACACACATGTATCCATTCTCCCCCAAAATCCCCTCCCATCCAGGCTGCCACATAACATTGAGCAGAGTTTCATATGCTATATGGTGGGTCCTTGTTGGTTATCCATTTTAAATATAGCAGTGTGTACATGTCCATCCCAAACTCCCTAATTATCCCTTCCCCAACTCTCCCCACTCCCCCTACAACCGTAAGTTTGTTCTTTAAGTCTGTGAGTCTCTATTTTATAAGTTCATTTGTATCATTTCTTTTTAGAGTCCACATATAAAGGATATCACACGATAATTCTCCTTTTCTGTCTGAATTACTTCATTCAGTATGACAATCTCTATATCCATCCATGTTGCTGCAAATACCATTATTTCATTCTTTTTAATGGCTAAGTAATCAAAATGGGTCTTTTAAACACCCATTTCTACCTGAAAAACATACTCAGGCTAAATCTGGTCAACTAAGTTTTCTTTTCTCCTCTTAACCATACTTCATAAAATTTCTCTGCACTTGGAAAAACCCCTTGGGACCAGTATAAAAACCATAGTTATATATCATTAGAACTTACAGTAACAATTCCTAGCTCCAGATGCATGGATTTTTAAATATGAACTGTACAGAACTACATTTTCTATTTTTTCCTTACTACAGTATCCAGTTCAGCATTTTAAATCTATGAACAGATAGGTCCAATTGTCTTTGTTCTTAGACTAATACAAAATGAGAAAATAAAATCACTAGATTCTCCTACCTGAAAACTCAATTTATCACCTAAGAAAAAGCAAAACAGACGAAGAAACTCAAGAAATGATGCTGGTAATAGTAGCATCTATTCTTATAGTATCAAGCCACACCTGTGATAGAGCTCTAAGTAGAACAACCTCTTAAGGAGACACTGAGCCAAAAAATACCCAATATACCCCGCTAGGATCTCAGCAATAGCAGGAACAGGACTAAGCATGGGAAGGACAGGGAGATCTGAAACCTGCACCTGAGGTCAGACAGTAAAGTAACGCTGAGTTTCATTTTAAAAACTAACCGTCCACAAGAGCCGCCGTTGGCAGAGTTTCAATGACTACCATCCAGCGCCCCTGTCCCTCCTGTCCTGTCACCCACTGCAATGGCAGCGGGATCACTCGACTCTGCCTTCAGCACGGCACAGGAGGAGATGAACGTGAGGACCAGGGCAGTGAAAGGGAGACTAAGGAAGAGAAACAAGGGCGAAAAGTGTTTCTCTCTTGGCGGCATACCAGCCAACACTCTTTAACATTCTATTAAGAGTGTTAAGTGGCTCCTAACCTCCCCCCCAGCCCCCCAAAATTACAGTACAGGTCAGGTGCTGTCAGTAATTAGGGCTAATGGACAAAAGCTTAAGAAAGATCATCTTCAACACATCCATATATGCACACAATATTCTACTCAAAATAGTTTACTTCCAGTGGGTTGATTTAAAAGAAAATTACAGATACTCACCAAAAGAAGTCACCTTTCCTTCTTTGTCAAATTTTGTCTGGAGACAGATAACAAAAACATTATTTTCTCCCAAATCAGTACATGATTTGTAGTATCATATTATATGGTATTATGAAAATAACTCTAAAATGATGAAGATATAAACCATATCTGCTGTTCTTAAGTTAAATTCGGTTATGAGTTCAGGATTAAAACAAAAGTCCCCTTTCCTTTGCCAGGACGAATCTGACCTTGGATTAACTATCTAACTTGGTTCTTCAGAAGATCTGATAAAGGAGCGTCAGCTGTGTTACTAGGCCACATCGCTTATGGAAAATGCCCCATCGCTGCTCACTGGGCTGCACTGGGAAGACGGAGAATGGATTATGATACCTGGCGGGGAGCCACAGCTCTGCCTTCCCCAAGGACAGTGGCTCTAGTGACTGACTGTGCTCTTTGCAGGAGCCTGGGATATGCCTCTGGGATGGTGACAAGAGATACTGGCACTAGAGGGCCTCAGGGGCCTAAGCCAAGGTGGATCTTGCACCCACCTTTGAGAATATGCTCTCCTCGTACCTGAGCTTCACACAGGGGGCCATAGGAGCCCCTGGATGGCTGGAAGGACTTCTTTCGAAGAGAAAACACCAAATACTGCCCTTGGGAATTTCCTATCCTTTTGCCTTCTGAATAGACTGGGACCAAATGTGGCTTACCTTGGGAATCTAAGTATTAATATCTGTGGGATGTTACGAGGTCTCTCTGGTGGGTGCTGCAGAATCAATAAATATTTACAGAAAAGACCTCTTCTGATAGTGCAGAGAGGACACAGTGCAGAAACTGTACTTATTTCCTATAAAGCAGAGGGAACGTTTTCCCATACTACTTGTCTACAAGTCAAGTCTGAAGATGTCAAAATAATGTTAAATGAATCACTATGTGCTGGACTGCACTAATTACTATTTAAATATGCATTTTCAGAAGACACACTCTAAGATATAGTCGAGGTACAAGTCCTAAATACACAAGCTATGTTAATAATACCACAATAAAACTTCATAATATATTTCAGCTTGCTTCTTGTGAACAAAGATAACATCAATAGGAATATATAAGCACCATAAAACATCAGAGTTAAAGGGAAACCTACATCAAGGGAAGTTTTATTTTGTGTAATATATACTAGCTTTCCTCTTTAAGCTTATTTCAAATACATACATTTGCTGCAGAAAATTTACAAATAAAACTATTTGGTCACAAATTTTAGAGAAAACCATGCTAACATTTTACTAAATGCCCTTCCAGACTTAGTCTTACTAAATACATTCATTCTACAGCACTTCTTTGCAGTCTCTCCTCTGCTTTCAACTTAACAATGTATGGTGAAAATTTCTGCATCTCCGTATTTATCTGTATCATTTTTAATGGGAATTTTTAATTAAAAAAATGAGATCAAACTGATTTTTAAAAAAATGTTTACCTTGTAAAGGAACTCACATTATTTCAAATAGCATCAACTGATTTTCTTAAGTGTTCCTGGTAGACAATGATTTCACCTGCAAAGAACCTTCTTTCAATATTTAACATCTGACTTTGTATTGTTTAATTAAACTGGCTAACTCCCAGAACAGTGAATAACAGTGACAACTTTTCCGTGCAATTCTGGGAGTTGTCTTGTCCTGTACAGTTCATAAAGAAAAGCTATGTTAAAAAACCTAAATAATGATGATATATAATGGCTAATATATAGACTGAATGCTTACCATGTGTGAGGTATTATTTTTAAGGGTTTTACTTATTTGAATTAATTTAAATCTCACAATTCTACAAGGTAGGTACTATTACTCCGAGATTACAGGTGAGAAAAACCAAGGCACAAAGATAGTATCGTAACTTGTCCACGTCCATCCAGTTAGTAAGAGACCGAGTTCAGATCTGAATTTACAAACTCTGGCTCAGAGCAAGCACTTTCTCTAAATAAGATTTAAAAAATTAAGTCTACAAAAACGTTACAAGAATATTACAACCAATTTCCATGTAACCTTGACCTAGAATCGCCCTTTGTTAATATGTGCCCCAATGGCTGTATTTTTCTTTCTTTAAATATGTGTGTGTGATACACACTATTTATGTTGTTTTATTCGATTTTTTTCTCGGAATCATTTCAGAGAACGTTGCAGAGATCAGGACCCAACAAAGCGTGCAGTTTGAAGTAATACCCTGTGCTGCCTTCAAAATGCTTCTGCATGTATTATGTTGCATAGCACAGGTTCAAGCCATTTTGTGGCTAACAGCCTTCAGGGACTTCTGAATAGATTTCTGGAGAAATCTTGAGTATTCAATTAGGAAGCTCTGAATTGTGATTTGAGCCACCTGTTCTAGTACCAGGACAAACTCTGCAGATATTAGCAGAGACTCAAGAGTGCTGTTCGGCAAATCTAGCTGGCACTCAAGTCGCTGGCTAAACACAAGACAGTGACTTATACATTATAAAACTAAGTAAGTAGTATCATGGTTGATCAGTCCAGCCCAGGTAACATAAGAAGTATGTACTCTCTTTAAGTCATCAAATGTACCACACATACTCACCACAGTAAACACCGGGGATACACTGGCTAAAGTGGCTTGAGACACATCAGAAGTTCTATTCCGGTAAATTTCACCTGAAGAATGAATCAGAGAATTCCTTGTGAGCATATGATTGGTTTTCACATATAGCTTAGATACAACTCTTCATAGTCTATAAAGGTCTTCAAACTATTTCACTATGTTTTGAATTTTTTTCCCAGAGGGAAAATAAGAAACACTTTTAACATTTACAGGGGATTATGTTAGGTTTGGCAAAACGTGGTTTTTAAAAGTAATAGTTCAGGTGAGGCATTAGAATAATTAATGGATCCCAACCACCCCTTTTCCTTTCTAATTATATCTTGGAGTTGGACATCAAATGTGTAATAGCATTCTGAGATTAAAGTAAAACGCCTATTCCTTTTCATATAATGTAGAAAGGCTGTTAATGAAAGTCACATTGGAAGACATAGTTTAGAAAACATATATTCCAAGAACTACCTGACCTCTCAGCATTTGAAATATCAGGATTGTTTGATTAACCTATAAATTATGAAGCCTACAGATTTTAACTCTATACTTAATTTCTTCCCCACTGATACACTTTAATTGTTTAATTATTTTTTTAAATGGAGTATAACTGCTTTACAATGCTGCGCTGGTTTCTGCTGTAGGTCAATCAGCTATGTGCACATATACACCCCTTCCCTCTTGGGCCTGCCTGCCCCCGTCCCACCCCTTTCTGTCACCAGAGCACCAAGCCCCTTTCTGTCATGTCTCCCTGTGCCATGCAGCGGCTGCCCACTAACCATCCATTTTACACGCGGGGTGCACATGTCCATGCTGCTCCCTCAATTCGTCCCACCCTCTCCTTACCACCCAGCATTTTCACAAGGCCATTTTCTACATCCACTGACATACTTTAGACTGAATACTTGTGAAATAATTCACTGCACTGGAATAAAGACTCCGGTGAACTGGAATAAAGGCAAACCTTTACTTGAAAATGTGATTAGACTAAGTTGAAGAAAAGCTCTCAAGCATAACCAAGTAAATTTAATAACTGAGAAAGGACACTGTTCACAATACTAAACACAAGAAGCATGGGCAGAATTCCTATCCATAGAATATGAAGCTATATTCTCATTTCTGATCTTATTCTTTCCTATACATTCAAGGACATAATTTGTTACCATCTGAGGTTTGCTGGTTACCTTGTACAAACCACCTTATGAGGGTCAGCTGAATAAAAGTGAAAGTGAAAGTGAAGTCGCTCAGTCGTATCGGATTCTTTGCGACCCTGTGGATTGTAGCCTACTAGGCTCCTCCCTGGAGAAGGAAATGGCAACCCACTCCAGTATTCTTGCCTGGAGAATCCCATGGAGGGAGAGAATAAAAGTTACAGCGCTACAAATCAGCATTTGCTAATAAGTCACAAGTTAGATAGTGTTACCTAGAGGTGAGAGAGTCAATTTCTAGGGAGACTGATAAGAAGTCCAGGGTCCCCAACGAGGAGAGAGGGGTTTGGGGCTCCTGAAGAGGAGATAGGGGTCTGGAGTTCTCAAGGAGGAGGAAAGGACAAAGGTCTTTTTTTCTCAATGTTCCTTAATCTTAGTCACATAAAACATTTTTTTCTTTAAGCCTGGAACTGGTGATTACAATACAAAACAACTCAATTTAAACTCTGTACTAAGGATTATATAACAACAACATATTCTGCTTGAGGACAGTTTCTCCTTCCTGAAAACCTGACTAATACTGTTATCTTAAAACGTGTATTATGGGAGTAGGCCTGGTAAGATCTTTCTATTGTTAAATTCTAATCCTGTTATTCCAACCAGTCCATCCTAAAGGAAATCAGTCCTGAATATTCACTGGAACGACTAATACTGAAGCTTAAACTCCAATACTTTGACCACCTTTGAGGTGAAGAATCGACTCATTCGAGAAGACCCTGATGCTGGGAAAGACTGAAGGCGGGAGAAGGGGATGACAGAGGATGAGATGGCTGGATGGCATCACTGACTCAATGGACATGAGTTTGAGTAAGCTCCGGTAGTTAGTGATGGACAGGAAGACCCAGCGAGCTGCAGTTCATGGGGTCCCAAAGAGTCCGACACGACTGAGCAACTGAACTGAATCCTGTTATCTTAAAATGTAAATTGTGGGAATGGGTCTGGTAAGATCTTTACAACCTTGAGACATTCTTTTGATTTATTGTAATAATTAATTAAAACAGTATACAGCCCTTGCTAAGACTAGCAAGTGGGGCACTCTCCACCCCCTTCTGCTGTCTACGTCAGAAGTTTTCTCTGTCCCTTTTTCACTTTAATAAAACCGCCACACAAGAGTCCTGAGTGGTCAAGTCTGGTCTCTGGTCCCAAAGCTAAATCTTCAGAGATCATGAATCTGACATCGTTCACCGTAAGGTATCAGAGAGAGATTCTGAATCTCAATGCTTGTCCTAAAAGGTTAGATCGGCAATGTAACCCAGTTTGGAAAGACTCTCCTAATGAGTATGAGGAAGCAGGTGGAGATAGTGAGCTACTTTGGGAACATTCTGAGAGTACTATTGAGAAAATTTATTTAAAAAGCCATACATGTCTCGGGTTTTTGAGCAGTATTAGCGCCCACATTGTCACACTTCTGAAAATGTCAAGGTATCATCGTGGTTTATCATTGGGGGGGGGGGGGGGGGGAAGACTTCTATCTCCATCCCCTTCTATCTGGTTACACAGTACTTGAAGAAAAGTCAGATCTTTCTCAGAAGCAGTTTTTGAAGTCTTCAGCCTCACTATCCCTTTCCTGAGGAACTGGACAAATGTCTAAATGTGTCCGTTCAAAAGAAAGAGACAGAAAGGAAAAATACATTCCAGGTAGATAAGCCTAGTTTTGGTTTCGGCACTATCATGATGGATGGGAGCGAAATTCTTAAAAACCTCTCAAGCGCACTCAGCCCTGTTTGCAGCCGGACCAGTGGAGAGGACAGAGGGCTTGGCGGACTCTAGCAGGGCCCACGGGGCGGTCCTCAGTCGAGTTCGGAGCTGGTGGGACAGCTGCGCCCGCAAACCTGGGGAAGAGGGCAGGACCTCGGCGCCCAAGAGCGGACCCGGAGGCCGAGGACGGAGCAGGCCGCGGGGCGGGCAGCCGCAGCCACGTGGGCTCGGGCGGTCGGGTCGGGCCCTGGGGTCACCGTAAGCCCGGCGTCCCGAAACTGCAGGGCGGGGAGAGCGGTACCTGTCATGGGGAGCCGGCGGGGCCAGCACAGCGGTGCGGCCCGCCTCCTTCCGAGCAATTCGGTGGCGCGGCTGTAGGCGACGAAGGGGCGAGTGCCGGGGGTCAGGCCCANTGGGGTCACCGTAAGCCCGGCGTCCCGAAACTGCAGGGCGGGGAGAGCGGTACCTGTCATGGGGAGCCGGCGGGGCCAGCACAGCGGTGCGGCCCGCCTCCTTCCGAGCAATTCGGTGGCGCGGCTGTAGGCGACGAAGGGGCGAGTGCCGGGGGTCAGGCCCAAGGCCAGAGCGCACAGGCTGCGCCTGGGCAGCCCCACCACGTGGGGCAGGAGCTGGGCCAGGCTCCGCAGGCATTCCATAGCGCTGGAGCGAGAAGGAGGGAGCTGCGGGACCCCAGCCCTTCATGCCGGACAGTGGCGCGGCGGCCTGCACTTCGCGACCCCGCTCCGGCGCCCGAGCTGCGACCGAGGCATACTGAGCATGCGCCGGCGCGCGGCGCCTGCGTCTAACTTCCCGCGCATGCTCCGAAGGGGCCTCTGCGTGCGCGACCCGTGACGCTCGGCCAATCAGAGCTTTGCCTTCCTCACCTGTGTGTACTTGTATAGCGTGTATGGACCGGCTCCGGGGTGGGTGGGCCGTGTGTACCTGCGTGAGTTGAACTGCCTAACCTAGGTTCGACACTTGGGCTTTTGCAGTGGTCTGGTCGGCGCGTACAGTGTTGATTACTTCTATTAACTAGTAATCTTTAAATGTGAAAAAATACGCAGGATATATATAATGTTTTTCAGTTTCTGGAGCATTTTCATGCAGATGCAATCTACAATTTGGAAGTGAGAAGTTATTACCCATTCCCAACTCATGTTATAATTAAGTTTAATGCAGCAAAAGTAAACTTTCATATGGAATGATATATTAAACTTTTGCTAGTGAAGACGGAGGAACATAAACGCGGATGATTTATATTCTGTATTTAATCAAATGTAAGCTAATGTCAATTTCAAGGTGCCATTATTTTTTTTTCATTTATTTTTATTAGTTGGAGGCTAATTACTTCACAACATTGCAGTGCGTTTTGTCATACATTGACATGAATCAGCCATGGAGTTACATGTATTCCCCATCCCGATTCCCCCCCCCCCCACCTCCCTCTCCACCCGATTCCTCTGGGTCTTCCCAGTGCACCAGGCCCGAGCACTTGTCTCATGCATCCCACCTGGGCTGGTGATCTGTTTCACTATAGATAATATACATGCTGTTCTCTCGAAACATCCCACCCTCGCCTTCTCCCACAGAGTCCAAAAGTCTGTTCTGTACATCTGTGTCTCTTTTTCTGTTTTGCATATAGGGTTATCATTACCAACTTTCTAAATTCCATATATATGTGTTAGTATGCATTATTTTATATACCACCAAGAAGGAAAAGTCGCTGAAAAACTTTGCTAATTGTATCATTTAAGAGTGACCTCAATTTCAGCCTTGAAAATATGAGAAAAGTGAGGCTTAGAACTGATTAAATACAACATATATGAATATTTTTAAAGTGTGAGTTAATAGACTTGCCTTTCCAAATAGAAGTGCATGGTAGACACAAGTTTCACAGATTTCCATTCAATCACTGTGTATGAACACAGAGCTAAAGAAACATAAAGGAAAATCTTTTTTTTTCCCCCCTTCCTGTAGGGTACTGAGACTGAAGGTGATTAGGAGGCCAGTAGAGAGAGGCTTGGAGAAGGCAATGGCACCCCACTCCAGTACTCTTGCCTGGAAAATCACATGGATGGAGGAGCCTGGTAGGCTGCGATCCATGGGGTCCTGAAGAGTCAGACACGACTGAGCGACTTCACTTTCACTTTTCACTTTCGTGCATTGGAGAAGGAAATGGCAACCCACTCCAGTGTTCTTGCCTGGAGAATCCCAGGGACGGGGGAGCCTAGTGGGCTGCGGTCTATGGAGTCGCACAGAGTCGGACACGACTGAAGCGACTTAGCAGCAGCAGCAGCAGTAGACAGAAGCTTCACATAACAGGGGATGTTTGACTTGAGCATTGAGGGCAAAGGAGGACTTCAAGCCCTGCTTCCTTGGCCATGGGGTGGAGTGGGGTTTAGAAACTCTGGAAAAGAGCCCTGGGTATATAGTACATGGCTGGTAGATTTTTCATTTAACTAAGGGTGACAATGATGAAATACATCTTTCAAAAACAGTGCATACCATCAGAGATATTTCTTGGAAACAGTGTGTGATAACTCTTAAAACTTAAGTCACCAGCATGATGAGACAGCTCTGTTTAAGGTGACCTTTACAAAGCCTTAGAAAAACTCTGGGATGTGGCCAGACACATGGCCTTATAATTCATGTCAAGGACTTGGAATTTAATCTGAGAAGGGTGGGAGCTATGGGAAGGGGGGTACTTTGAGCAAAGGTGTAAATCTGATTTACATTTAAATGGGTTGTTTTGGCTGTGTGGGATTATAGAAAGGTTAAGTGTGGAAGCAGAGAGATGGTGATGGTTTGGGTTAAGGTGGGGGTGATGGAGAAGGGGAGATTGGTTGGGTTTGGTGCAATAAACTGAAGGCTTGGTTGACAAGATTTGTAGATGGGATGTAAATAAAGAGGCACAGAAGTCAACTTCAAATTTTTTTGGCTCAAACAAATGGGCCATCATGATGCCATTTACCGAGATAGGGAATTTTGGTGAGGGGCAAATTTAGATGTAAAGCAGACTGTGGCTTGGCATTTATTTCTGGACATGTTAAATTTGAGAGCTTTACCAGATAGATATCTGAGCATAGACAGCAAGTAAGCAGTTGGAGTTTGGGGGAGATTTTGAAGCTAGATATACATATTTGGGACTGAGAAATATTTAAAGCCGCGTGTCTCCTCTTAGGAGAAAAGTTTTCTCTCAAAGAGAAAAGTTCCTGTGATTCAGTTCTAGGTCTTCTAATATTAAATGGTTAAGAAGAGAAGATGAATCCAGCAGAAGAATATGAGAGGGCATGGCCAGGAAGGAGGAATAAAATTATAGAGGGTGGGATCCATGAAATCAAGTGAAGAAAGTGTTTAAAAAATGAAGTGCTCAGTTACATCAAATGCTACTGCTAGGTGAGAAATGAGAATTGCCTGTATAGGATATGATGCTGTGGGGCTCACTGGTCACCTTCATAAGAGCAGTTTTTGTAGGGTGGTAGGTCTCCCAGGTGGCTCAGTAGTGAAGAACCTGCCCGTCAATACAGGAGACACAGGAGATGTGGGTTCGATTCCTGGGTCGGGAAGATCCCCTGGAGAAGGAAATGGCAACCCGCTCAAGTATTCTTGCCTGAAAAATCCCATGGACAGGGGAACCCGGTGGGCTCCAGTTACGACTGAACACACACACACACACACACACACAAAGAAAGTGATAATCATCTTTCTTTCATCCTAATCTATGAAAGGATCCACGAAGATTTCTGCATCTATATAACAATTTGGCTTTGAGATCCCTGAATCTCTTTACTTACCCTTTTTTTTTTTTAAAGATTTATTTCTCTTGGCTGCACTGGATCTTCTTTGCTGCTAGCTTTTGCCAGTTGCAGGGAATGGGGGCTGCTCTTCATTTCGGTGTGAGGGCTTCTCATTGTGGTGGCTCCTCTCGTTGCGGAGCACAGGCTCCAGGCACATGGACTTCGGTGATTGGGGCACGTTCGCTCAGTGGTTATAATGTACGAACGTAGCTGCTCCCTGGCATGTGAAATGTTCCCAGACCGGGGATCGAACCCAGGTCTCCTGCATTGGAAGGTGAATTCTTAACCGCTGAGCCGCCAGGGAAGCCCCTTTCCTTATCTCTTGAACTTCAGAGCAGGTTGGCGACCTAATCTCAGGCTCACACTGGGTTCTCACCCAGAACTGTTTCACCTCAGAAATGTTATCCCAGTTATGCACATCATAGCCTCCTGGAGACTCTACACCCACAACGATTATATTCTCCCAGCAGACCTACCTGGCCTTTTCCCCTTCTCTGCCCAACCCAGTTTATGTAACTGATCACAGAAACCACTGTGACTTGTACTTGGAGCACGTTGCCCTTGTGGGATGTAATCACAGAAGACACTTTATATTTGTCTCTTTAATTCTGCTGATTGGGGCTGGTCTTTCTCCTGCCTCTTGAAAACTTGAGCAGCTTCCATGACTTCTCCGGTCTCTCAGTCCTTATGTTCATTCTAATCTCAATTCAGCTATTTAAAACATCCACTCCCTATCGTGTTTAGTGAAATAGGTCAGACAGAGAAAGACAAATACTATGTATTTCCACTGACTTGTAGAATCTAAAAAAATAAATATAACAAGACAGAAGCAGACTCACAGATACAAAGAACAAAGTAGCTGTTACTAATGGGGAGAGGGGAGCAGGAAGGGGCAGGTCAAGCAGAGGGGATTAAGGGGTACAAACACCTATGTATAAAATAAATGAACTACCAGGAAACAGCACTGGGAATATAACAAATATTTTATAATATCTATAAATGGAGTATGATCTATAAAAATTTTGCATCACTATGCTCTGCACCTGAAACTAATATATTGTAAATCAACCATATCTCAATAAAAATAAAACATCCACTCTGTATACAAACTACAGTAATTTACAATGTCAGAGCCAGTATACTAATCGCTGCTTCACTCTTCAAAGGAAAGACTTGATTCTACACTCCTTGTCAGGCCTGGGGACAAATAGGAAATTGAGGTATAGGCAGAGATTCTAGGAAGCTCCCCCTAACCCTTTCCCACTGCCTCTCTTACTCCATGGCTGCTGTTTTTGACTCTGCTGGGCAGTGAAGCAAAGTAAGAATGAACCAAAAGTGTTTATTGAATAATGGCTCCATGCTCTCTCTAGGCAGGGCAGATTTTAAGCTGATTTCCTCGTGGGCACATTCACATGGGCAGTGAAGCAAAGTAAGAATGAACCAAAAGTGTTTATTGAATAATGGCTCCATGCTCTCTCTAGGCAGGGCAGATTTTAAGCTGATTTCCTTGTGGGCACATTCACGCAATCTCCGGAGGACCACCTCCTGCTCTCTTGCCCTCCCTCCCCACCACCACCCAGACACATCTGATTGGCATTCCTTTGATGTGGGCAGTGACCCTCCTGATCACTTTCAGTTTCTGCCCCTTCTTGCCTCAAGCAGCATGCCTCTTCCAGCCATGCTGTTCTTGGGGGGCAGGATGCTTCTAAAAACAAACCCAGATTGACCTTCCTGTTGTCAGGTCTGCATGCAGGATTCCACGCACCTTTAGAGGGAATGCAGTTACTTCTCTGCAGAGCTGGTCTCCCGTGCCCAGGTGTGAGTCTAGGAGCACTTCAGGCTGTCGGAGTGCTCTAAAG